TTTTTCTCCTATTCCCTAAACTTCTTGGAATTGATTGTTTTGCTGCTTCTATTATAACTCCACTAACTACTCGATTTAATTCCTCTATTTCCTCATCAACATTAATTACTCCCATCATTTCATCACTTATCTCCCTGAATTTCACCCAATCTGCTTTACTAAATACCCATCTTTCTGACCCATTTGACTCATTTATTTCATTTCTTATATCTATTTCTATAAAAATTGGATAATGATCACTTCCTAACGTACTATCTTTATTAACTTTCCACCAACATAACCCTGCTATAGCTTCCGATACAACTGTAATATCAACTGCCGTTTCCTTCCCATTTACCACATTTATTCTAGTACCGTCTCCATTGTTTACACATACTAAATTTTTTAGTTCCATTAATTCCTCTATTACTTCCCCATTTGAATCATTATAACTATCCCACAACATATTATGCCCATTAAAATCTCCACAACAGATAACCTTACCCTCTAAATTTATTGCAAGTTCTTCTAAGTTTTCCAATGTTAGTTTCTTACAAGGATTATAATAATTTACTATTTTAATATCTCCTTCATTTGTCCAAACTTCTATTATGATAAATTCCAATTCATTTCCTTTTACCATTACATTATAACGCACATTCTGTTTGATAAAAATAACACCCCCCCCATTACCCTTGTCTCTATCTCTCCTAACACTATCATAACCTGCTATTATAAAATCTAAAGATGGTTTCAACCAAGTTTCTTGGATGCAACTTATGTCCGGTTTTATTTCTAAGTCATTGACAAAACTTTTGAATTCCTGTCCATTTGCCAATAGACTTCTTGCATTCCATTGAATTATATACATTAACTCTATCCAATTTGGCTTGAAGACTTTCCTTCCAACTCAAGCCTTCTGGTAATTTGTTCCCAAGAAAGGTTTCTGACTGACAAGAATTTCTCAGCACCTTTTGTAATAACTTTAATCTTCTATGAACTTTAATATGCTATGAACAAAATCAAATTTTCTATGTTCATTGATACCTCTTTTAGGTTTCTCACATTATCCAGGGTTCTTACATCCTTGGCTGTCCCCTCCTTTGTTTTTTTCTTCTCTAATTTTTTTAACTGCCTCTGCATAACTTATATTATTCTTTGTTTTAATTTGTTGGACGTCCACCGCTCTTTTCCTTACCTCACACCCTCCATATGTTACACTATGATCTCCACCACAGTTACAACACGCTGCCTTCACATTTTCCCCACATTTTGCACATCTTTGTTTTCCTCTACACACTGCAGCAATATGTCCATATCTCTGACATTTGTAACACCTAAGAGGTGGTGGAACATATTCTCTGACATAGGAGCTCATGTATCCTATTTTAACCCTTTCTGGAAGTTTTTCATCTTGAAAGTCAATTAACACAGACAAACTGGCTAATTGTTTTCCATTTACTGTTTTATTTAATCTCGTCACATTCCTCCTAGAATATTCTTTTTGATGTTGTCCAAATCCTCTTCGACTGGAATACCCCATATTACTCCCCGTGTCCCCGTTTTTCCATGTATTACTTTTTTATCCACTACAGTCTTCTTGCATACACTTCCAATAAGTAACGCTTTATTCCTTTGTTCCTCTGTCTTACATTTGATCAATATATTCCCGTCATAAAGGATTTTTGCCATTTCTATCTCTCCCAGCTTCTTCTTTAACTCTTTGGTAAGTGCAATTGGACTTAAACCTATGTGTTCATCTTCTTTCCTCACTACAAGTATTATCTTAAATTCTTCCCTTTCCAATTTTCTCCGAATCGTCCGCTCATTTTCCTCAAAACTACTTTCTTCCAAACCCCCTTTTTTACCTATGTTATTTATGTTTCTATGCCCTCCTTCCTGACTTCTTCCTATATCCCACTCTTTTTCACCCCCTACCGCCATCCATTCTTCACTATTCATGTCATCATCCTCATACCAAGATCCTTCTCTCCTGACCCGTTCACTAACCAGTTCATGCCTTCCGCCTTCCTCCAAATTTGCGGACTCATACGATCTCCTCTCAGATTGTCTCGATCCAGCAATGTTGTCGTTTGCTTTCCCGCGACCTCCTATCCACCCGTCCATGGGCGCCACCATCTTCCCACATGTCTTCGTCTTCTTCTTCTTAGAGTTTTATGGCGGTTGGCAAACCAACGTTAGGTGCATTCCCGCCACCTACTGGGCTGGAGAGTGGAACATTGATGAGAAGGGAAATGGGGAAAAAAAAAAAAAAAAAAAAACCTATATCCTATGAATCAGTCCTACTTTATTTAAATATCTAAATAATGCATTATATATTTTATACTGATCCAAACCATTATGCAGCAGTTTTTTAAGTGATAATTTTCCTATTCCTATTTCCCTTAATTCTTCCAGCTAATGTGTCCTTTCTCTTTCAAAAGCATTACAACTTAGTAGAACATGCTGAACAGTTTCTGCAGATCCACATTTACTGCAGTTTCCAGACTCATGTTTCCTGATTTTGTACAGAGAGTAATTTAAAGCTGTATGACCAAGGCAAAGTCTAGTTATAATTGTGTCTCTTCTTTCGCTACCAACCTGATACTGAATATGATATAAATGACTTCCCCTTTCTTCCTTATCCCAAAGTTCTTGCCACTTTCTTTTTATAACTGTTCTGATAATTGCCTTAACTTCTGTTTTACATAAAGGGATAGTAATCTCTATATTCGAGAATTTCAGAGCTTGCTTTGCCAGATGATCTACCTCCTCATTTCCTTCCACCCCCACATGTGCTGGACCCAAAGTAAGAATATCTTAGTAGTATTTCATACAAGATATCTTGTCTGGAAGATCTTCCAGTTAACAGTCTTGATAGTGCAGAATAAGAGTCTGCACAGATCACCACGCTCAAAGGTCGAGCATCCTCCACCCATTGAACAGATAATAAGATTGCTACCATCTCTGTTGAGAATCAACTCAGATTGGCTGACTCGTGCTCCTAGCAGTTGACCAGTACCTTTTTGACTGGATGAGACTCACTATGACCTTTTATTGATGTCCAGCATGCCAACAATAATTTTAACCTTCGGATGTCAAGAGGCATTTCACACAGTGAGGGATGGATGTACATCTAAGAGGCCCACAACATACATGTAATCCCTGGGATTGTGTCATATCAACTTTTTTTTTAACATAGTTTTAGATGCAGATCCATATACTGCACACCCATAATCTATTGTTGACCTAATCAATGCACAATATATTCTCTTCACTGACTGACGCCTGGCACCACAATCTACCCCAACTAAACACCTTAATATATTTATTACTTTTTTACATTTGTCAACTATTTTCTGTATGTGAACTCCATAGGTGAGTCTTGAGTCTAGCCACACCCCTAGGAATCTTATTACTGACATTTGCTCCAGTAATTGCCCATACAGCTTTAACCTGATGGTAGGGTTGGTTCTCTTTTTTGAGAAGCATATAACCTGTGTTTTTGATACAGAAAGACAAAATCCCCATTTATCAGCCCATTTTTCTACCTCATTTATTGAATTCTGCATTTTCAACTACATACAACATACTGTACTACATAAAAAGGATAGGACTACACACACTAACTTGAGGGGTACCGTTTTCTATGTAATACACTTTTGAGTATGAAGTTCCCACCCTGACTTGAATAGTTCTGTCAAATTCCTCCCTCTTTTCCACAAAGCACCATCATCTGCAATTAGGGACATCTTGACCCCTGTACCAACCTGAGAGAACACATCGTTAATGTTGTTGTTGTTCTTCCTCTTTTGGCTGCTCCCGTTAATGATTCGCCACAGCGGATCATCGGTCCGCATATTTGATTTGGCACAGTTTTTACTCCAGATGCCCTTCCTGAGGCAACCCTCCCCAGTTTTATCCGGGCTTGGGACCGGCACTGAGAGTGCACTGTTGCACACATCCCCATTTGCTGGGGTTCGTTCCCTGGCCGGGAGTCGAACCCGGGCTGCAGGGGTGAGAGCGTGTGGCCTAACCACTAGTCTTTAAGGGACCCAAGAGAACACATCATTAATCATTACATTAAAAAGGATAGGACTACACACACTACACTGAGAGGTACCATTTTCTTTTTTGAATATGAAGCTCCCACCCTGACTTGAATAGTTCTGTCAAACAGTAAGTTATGTATCCAGTTAAACATTTTCCATCCAATGCCCATCTTATCCAATTTGATTAAAAGCCCTTCTTTCCACAACATATGATACGCTTTCTCTACATCAAAGAACACTCCTACTATTATTTCTTTGTTAACTTGGTTCTTCCTAATATCTGACTGCAATCATAACACCACGTCCATAGTATTCTAGCCTTTCCGGAATCCACTCTGATATGGAGAGAAGAGGCCTTTATTTTCCAGCACGTGACTCAATCTATAGGTAACTATTCTTTCCATAATCTTGCACAGATTAGAAGTTAAAGCAATGGGCCCATAGTTGGAAGCTTTTGTGTGATCCTTTCCGGGCTTTGCGACTGGGATAATTATCCCATGTTTCCAGCTAGCAGGAAGAATCCTTTTTTCCCAAATCTTATTAAAGAGGCATAATAGAGTATATAGTGACCTATCTGAAAGATGTTTGACCATTTCATAACACACATCATCTTTCCTTGGTGAAGTTTGCCCAGCAATAGCCCGCTTTAATTCACACATAGAGAAGTTGTTATCTAAGGAACATCCCTTAGGCCCCCTATGTATTAGAATGTTTGGATTGTCTCTTAAACACTGCTCTCTAGACCTTCTCATATATCCTGGAGTATTATCATTACTATGCATTTTAACAAAAGTTTTAGCTATTATTTCAGCTTTTTCACCATCTGAGCTGATTCTCATTTATAAGATCGGAATACTAGTATTCCTTTGAATCCCTGCCATCTTCCTTATCATTCCCAAAACTAAGCTAATTTCTGTTTCCTCACCTGTGCTATCACAATACTGTCTCCAGAAACGTCTTTTTGCAGCTCTTATTGTTTTCCTAACACCAGCTTGCGCTCTTTTATACTTAATGAAGTCATCGAAAGTATAGGAATTTCTAACTTTCTTAACTGCTTTATTTCGCAATTGTATAGCTTTCCTACACTCTTTTGACCACCATGGCACTGCCTTCCTTCTTCTACAAATTCTTCCCTTTCCAATTACTTCCTATGCTGTGCTGCAAAGAATCTTACTAATTTTTGTTATTTATATCCTCAATCTCCTCTACCGAGTCCCCTATTTCTTCCATCCTTATCTCACTTAAATATTTATACTTACACCAGTCAGCTGATTTAAATGTCCACCTAGGCAAACTTTCCTCAACAGTTTGGGGGTTATTAATCCCTATTTTGCAAGTAATTGGAAAATGGTCACTGCCCATTAGATACTAGTCCAAAATATCCCAAACACACCTCCTTGCTAGACTTTCTGACACTATGGTTAAATCTATGGCAGAAAACCTCCCTTTAGCTAAGTCAACTCTTGTTGCCCTGCCATCATTTAGACTAAGCTGCTCCAATCTAGCATATCTTCTATAACATTTCCATTGTGATCTGTTTTATCACTACCCCATAATGTACTATGCCTATTAAAATAACCACACCATACTAACATACCACAGTTTCAGATTCAACATTCACTTCTAATACCCTAAACCCTATTCCTTCCTTCACAAAAGTAACCACTCCCCCTCCAATTCCAGTTACTCTGTCCGTACGCACTCAATTATATACCTGCAATGTAAAACTCAAATGAGGTTTAAACCAAGTCTCTTGGATACACATAACATGAGGTTTTCTGTCCTGATCCACAATAATTTTTTTTTATTCTAATCCATTTGCAGTAAGACTCCTAGCATTCCACTGTAGGATTAATAGCACCATTAAGACCCACCACGTTGCTTGATTATTTACTGCTTGCATCTTGAGTTTATCGTTTATTAGCTCTACAGTTCCACCCTCAATTTCAAGATATTTTTCCGCTGCTCTAATTATGATTCTAATCCTCTCCGTTCTACTCTCAGTTTGAGCTGAGCAATTCACTACTTCCGCCAAGAATGTTACAAATACTACCTTATCTACTTCCAGGAATTTTCCATTCATACGTCCTCTACTAGAATCTATTTCTTTGACTTGAGGACTAGAAGACAAGCAGTTGCTACTCTTTGGTTTTGCCATCTAGATTTTTTTGAGGGCATCTGCATAAGTTGCTTCTGGTGCTCGGACATTTTAAATTTTTCCAGCTTCTTTCCTCACCTGACAGCCTCCATAACCCACACTATGCTCACCACCACAATGACAACATTTCGGTCCAAATCTTGCCCACATTTCCCATATTCATGTTCACCTTTACATCTAGCACATCTTTGCTTCCCTCTACATACAGCTGCAACATGTCCATATTTTTGACATTTGTAGCATCTCAGCGATGGGGGAACATAGGGTCTTACTGCATAGCTTAGAAACCCAATATACACTCTATCAGACAGTTTATTTTCCTCAAACTGTAGTATTACAGAGGCTATCAACCCTTTCTTTGTCTCTGACGTATTTTAAGCATTTTACATCTTTAACTACAGCACCAGTTATACCCTTTTTATTTTTATCAATCAGAATGTCAGTGCGTACACCAGATATTACCCCTCTAACCCTCTTCTTCCCTTCTACTTCTGTGCATGTAACCGTTTGTCCAAGCAGCATTTTTAGACTAAGTGCTGTCTTTTGTTGAGTTCTATCCTTACATACTATCAGTAGCTTGCCATCCCTTAATTTCTTAGCATAGTCAGCCCTTCCTATCGACTCCATAATTGCTTTGGTTACTCTCAATAGATTATTTACTACAGTATCCTCAGCTGTAAATTTCAACAGCACCTTGAACTCCTTTTTCCTTCTCTTGGTCTGATGTTGTTCCTTCCTGCTATCTGTCCGATATTCGACTCCAACTTTTCTTTCTTTTACGTTTTTCTACCACTGTCCAATTTACGTTTCTCTCAGCTCTATTTTCCCTGCCAAATATTTCATCTTCCATCTCCGGATCACTTCCGATTTCTGTACTACTTCCTTCCACCATTGAACCATTCACACCCCACTGTTGCCGCTCCACCTTCCTCCAAATTTGGCACTCCTTCCAGCTGTTCACATCAAACTCAGGTGTTACTTTGCTGCGGAGAGTTTGACAAAGCACGCCACTCATTCGGTCACCACTCCCGTCGATCTACCACAGCAACTAGTATCCAGGAATGAATCTCCGCCATTACTCTGGCCCATGTCATACAGATAAAGGTAAATTGGGGATTGGTCTACTGACGTCGCCATGTTTGTTTTGGGCAATCAAAATAATAGACTGACTAGGGATCTGAGGTATGAATAACAAGGATTGGTTGAATAGCTGAATGATGTTGATGTTGAATAATAGTCACAGAGACTGTTTACAGTGTAATTATGGATTAATAAGATAAAAGAATAAATTATGCTTTTAATGGTAGACGATTATATAGGTGATGAGTGATGAAGTTTATATTTTTATGATGGCATCGTCACAAAATAAACTTAACAAACTTTATAAACTTAGCACTCGGTAGTTCTTCAATGTCACGTGACTTGCTAATCCTCTCACGGTAGCACTGAGTTTGGTGCTCGAGAATGGCTCACTCTGATTGGTCAACCCAGGGAAACACATTTAAACAGACCACCGTCTCTTGAAAACACATGATTATCTCAGCTGAGAACAAACATAGACTCCCAGTTCTGGCTTTTCCTGATGATGTATGAATGCAAACACACAGATACAGGCACACACACACACACACACACACACAGGGTCCAAAACTCTGCCATTTTCTGCATATGCAGTTTTTGATAGGGTTTATTTCTGCCCCAGATGTATTAATTAGAACATAATTTGACATAAAATTTGCAATTTTGACAAAAAAAAAAAAGAATTATGCCAAAAATTGCCAAATTTCATCTTATGTCAAACGGTGGAGTAGATATATGCATTTTTTTGGTTAAAGCGCCCCCTATGGGCCAAATGTCACGAAATTTGAGGGGTGGCCAGAGAGTGTCCTACTGACTATGTATTGAAAAGATTTTATTGTATTCTTTTAGTACATACATGCAATGAAATAAAACTTAATAGACCTGTAGGGGCCAAACATTTTGGTCAATCAAAATTTTTTTAAGTATGATTTTGGCAGCAAGCTCTCTACTAGCTACATTCATATTTTGTGCTAAGCAGATGAATTGCCTAAGACTAGCTTGAAAAAGAAGGTGTTTTAGAAAATTAAAGATGGCAGAAAGAAATCAGCCAAAAGAAATTAAACCATATAGCTAAAAGATGCAGGAGGACTCAGGAATTCTGCTGATATAACACATTTTACTCTATTCCCCACAGTTCAACGATATAAACCCAAAGGTAAATTCATTTATTATAGCACCCCCTTCTGGTGGGTATGGGTCATTTCATTTGCCTATGCAGGGGGTGGGATCTGGGACATTACAAATTTGGTGGCAATGTTTCAATGATATCCTTGTCCTATTGCTGTGTAAGTAAATTGGGCTCCACCTCATTAGATGTGATTGACATGTAGTGGCTATATTGTTTAAAAATGTCAACATGTTTTTGATAATTATTGAGGGTCATACTCTGCTAAGTAGTTTGACACCAAAACTTGTGAAGCTAGGACACAAATCCTCTCGAAGTTCTCCAAAGGTTTGCATATTAAGCCAATTATTTAAAATTTTAGCAGACAAAGGAGAGACAAAGCATGGGTAAAAGCATGGGAAAAAAGAACTTTCACGGTACCCCTTATTTTAAAATATGAATAATGCTCCCCAGAAGCTAAGTTGAGTAAAACTATATCAATTATTAGGGGTCCCATTAGAACTGATTGACATCGACATTGATTGACAACCATATTGTTTACAAATGTCAACATGTTTTTGATAATTAATAATTATTTGATAAGGTTCACACTCTGCTGCTTTGTTTGACACCAGAATAGTCAACATAGGACAAAAATC